GAGAGGAGGGAGGGGAGAGGAGGGAGGGGAAAGGACGGAGGGAATTGGGAGGGAGGAAAGATGAGGAAGGGGAGAGGAGGGAGGGGAGAGGAGGGAGGGAAGAGGGGGGAGAAAGAGGAGGGAGGGGAGAGGAGGGAGGGAAGAGGAGGGAGGGAAGATGAAGAAGGGGAGAGGAGGGAGGGAAGAGGAGGGAGGGAAGAGGAAGGGGAAAGAGGAGGGAAGATGAAGAAGGGAGGGAAGAAGGGAGGGAAGAAGGGAGGGAGGGAAGTGGAGGGAAGGAAGAGACGGAGGGGAAGAGAAGGGATGGGAATGGGGTTCCAGATCCACCTCACTTTTCTCTAGGACTATGTATATGGTGTTAGACAAAGAAAAATAGTCTGCATTTCGGAGGACGGAATGTAGTTTCACCACAATTGCATTACCCAAGTTTTTCTAAAGCTGGTATGACTCCACTTTCTTGTAGATAGTAAGTGACCACTCCGGATCCTGGTGATAAACTGGTCTTTATATATGGTCGGACTTTGAGTCCACATTCCACAGCATTCTTGGCCAGCAGTCCTGCTCCCAGCATCACTGAGGGGTTACTGGTGTTTGTACAACTCGTGATTGCTGCTATGACGACCGAACCTGGCAAGAAAATAAAACATGAGAAGACCAAAAAATATATAGAGTTGGTTTATGTATGGCAGACACAACCCACCCAATGGGCGAACCCAAGCAAATGACCAATCGATTGACCTTTCTAAGGGGCTGTTTACATGATAGCACTTCGTTGGGACAAGACGTGAGGCCGGATGATTATAATTGTAAACGAAAGGATATTCAAGCAGCAATAATCCTCTTCTTCAACTACAGTACGAGATTTTCGTGAACCACAAGATCTTCTCAATAACATCTGAGGTCTTTAAGCGGCGTGAACTTTCGTTATAGCCTACATATGGTGATTTATTTCAATACATCAAAATCATCCCGCCTTTCACCCCATATCACGTACGTAAACAGCCCCTAAATTCTCGTAGATCACCCACAGTGACTGATTTTCAAATTCCTTAACCAACGCAGCTTACCATGTTTTAATGTGAAATTTTGACCCTCGTACTCCATGACACTTTCGGATTTCTGTTTCTCTGCAGACAAACCAAAGCCTTTAAAACCAACTTTATTATCGAGACATTCTTTAAAATCCTTCTGCATCTCAGACACGGCAACCTTGTCATGTGGTCGCTTTGGTCCTGATACACAAGACACAACTGTAGTGAGATCTAACTCGACAACCTAGGAGAAATGTTTTAAAATAAGAATAAAACATGCCTGTATACAGTATTTACTTTTTTGCAGGTAGCTGAAGCAGGTTGGGGACCCAGGAATCTGGTCGGTGAATATTGCAAAAGACACTGGGCAAAATTGAAATTTTCTATTATACTAGCGTGCACAAGACCTTCTGACCTAGGTTTGCAGTTAGCTCCACTCACTTGCAGGTAACGCGGTTACCTCGGAAGCCAACATCTGACACCCATGGAATAAAAGCTTGTACGAAGGACATTGAAAGTCAGATGTTGCAACTTGCAAGATACACTTGAAGTACAGTAGTGTCGTCTAATATAAATATTATAAGTATATGTTGAACTCCTATAAACGAATACCACCTCTCTGAAGCATACACCTCTTTTAAGCGGACACATTTGTGAGGTCCAAAGGTGGACGTAGGGTTACAACTGTACTGTATTATTTATGGCTGTTTAAACGGTCTTTACTTTGCAGTTTTTCATGAAACTATACTATGAAATTAGGACAGTATATGCAATATTCCTCTATCATAAACAGCGAATTGATGCCATAGATGAATAAATCATCTCACTTTCATGCGTGGCAGAGCTGGATCATGGAAACGATTGTGTTACCTGAGAAAACACGGGATCTTCATCGGGATTCTCAAAATGTCGGAACATCTTATTGGCTTTCAAATATTTCTCAATAAACGCAATTCGTTCTTCATCGCGACCAGTCTGTCTCAGATACTTCATGCTCGTCTCATCCACGGCAAAGAATCCTACGGTTGCTCCATACTCTGGACACATATTTGCGATGGTTGCGCGGTCCGCTATTGATAGCTGTGACAGCCCTGGGCCGAAGAATTCTACGAATTTCCCGACGACGCCAATCTGGCGAAGGTGTTTGGTTATAGTTAAGACGACATCCGTTGACGTGGCTAGACTGTTGAGTTCTCCAGTTAGTTTGTAGCCGAGAACTTTGGGAAGAACCATACTGACTGCTTGGCCAAGCATAACCGCCTCTGCTTCGATACCACCAACACCTAAATGAAGGTGTAACACTTTGATTGAATCATTGAAATGGTCGGTGAATATTTCAATTATCTCAAACGTGGAGCCCAGTGTAGCATCCTACAATAAGTTGCCCTGGATTTGTGTTGTAACAACCTTTATACGAGTATAAATACACTTCATGCGAATATTCTTCATTTACTAACGAATTTAGGTTACTAACATATTACCTAACATATTACTGTATATACATGTAACCGTTTCTTTTTTCATGCAAATCTCAGTCTATGAATATTTTTTTCCTAAATAATATCCTATCCAGGCTTTCACAGTAAGTTGCAATATCATTGTTACAGTTTGTTAACCAATTAATACCAAGAAGAATACAGCTGACAAAGATTCGCAAAATCGCACAAAAAATGGAACAAGCTCTTTTAGTTTTGGAATAGCTATATACTTATTGAAAATTTTCATATAAAGGTTCATACCCCAGCCAAGTATGCCCAGACCATTGATCATGGTTGTGTGAGAATCTGTGCCAACCAAGCTGTCTGGATATAGTAAACCATCTGTATTAAATACAACACGACCAAGGTATTCCAAATTAACCTAGATAAGAAGGAAATGTATTACGTCTTTATTGTCCGCACTGGTCAAGATATGGGCTTTATAATCCCGTCTTACAGTGCTTCCACAAAAATCAATTTTACACCTTAATATATACATGTACTGGTAAGCTTGTGAAATTGTACAAGTTCATCTTTAAATGTTGAAAACTATTTTCACAAGAATATACTGTAGTAGGTTTATATAATATCAAATTGAGATTTGAGAAAATAAATTTTATGGCGATGCACGGTTAAATGCTATACTAGGGTTAGTAGCTTGTTTATAAACATGGAGATGTTTTTTCTATCAATCTTGTCTGGGGCAATAGAAGTTTTATTTTCTAAAATTTTGAAAGAAATGAATCTGCAGATGTCAAAACAGCGAGTTAAATATTAACTCATTGTTTGGGTTAATATATCCAGTTTTGGACAACTGCGGCCCTTGTGATTTAGTACAATCAATGTCTGACTTCAAGATAAAGACATTAATGGCTGCTTAGTCTGTTACCTGATGAACAATTCCTGATCCAGGAGGAACGATAGTAACATTCTTGAAAGCTTTTGAACCCCACTATATTAAGATATAAAACGTTTTCTGATATTTCTACATCATATATCAGGGGTCAAAATTTACGTTGATAAGCATATAAAAAGTACCCTCAAAAACTGAAATCTTTCTTTGTTTCTTTCAAACTCTAAATCTTGGTTTCTTGCAACCGCATCTTTACTACAAGTGAAACATACATCAATCATGGTAATGATGATGGTAGTGATGATGATGATGGTGGTAGTGATGATGGTGGTGACAGTGATGATGATGGTGGTAATGATGATGATGGTGGTGATAATGGTGGTCAGGTGATAGTGATGATGATGATGGTGGTAGTGATGATGGTGGTAGTGATAATGGTGGTGACAGTGATGATGATGGTGATGATGATGATGATGGTGGAAAGGATGATGATGGTGGTGGTGATGATGATAGTCAGGTGGTATTGATGATGATGGTGGAAAGGATGATGATGGTGGTGATAATGGTGGTCAGGTGGTAGTGATGATGATGCTGGTGGTAGTGATGATGGTGGTAAGGTAGTTAGGTGGTAAGTGATGATGATGATGGTGGTTAGGTGGTAAGTGATGATGATGTTGGTGGTAGTGATGATGATGGTCAGGTGGTAGTGATGATCATGTTGGTGGTAGTGATGATGGTGGTGACAGTGATGATGATGGTGGTAGTGATGATGTTGGTGGTAGT